ATGCTTTTACTTGCATGTAAGATCCTTTGCATAAATTTCATGTCAAAAATAATTATCAATAATGGCTAAATTATTACTCTGTATTTTTTTAGTTTTGGTCTCGAGCTCTAGGCGTACCATCACATTTTTTGGCCACATTTAAAATTCAACAAAAAAGTTGCGAAATTTGACATGGATGTTTTTACTTGCACGTAAAATCCTTTGCAAAGGTTTCATGTCAAAAAAACTTGTCAATACTGTCTATATTAATATTTTTTTAGTTTTGGCCTCTAGCTCTAGAGGTAATATCACATTTTTTGGGAAAATTTTAAATTTATCAAAAAACTTGCGAAATTTAACATGGATGTTTTTACTTGCATGTAAAATCTTTTGCAAAAATTTTATGTCAAAAAGACTTGTCAATAATGTTTATATTAATTTTTTTTTGTTTCGGCCTCGAGCTCAAGGGGTACCATTACATTTTTTGGAAAAATTTTAAATTTATCAAAAAAGTAGCGAAATTCGACATGGATGCTTTTACTTGCACGTAAAATCTTTTGCAAAAGTTTCATGTCAAAAAGACTTATCAATAATGTCTATATTAATATTTTTTAGTTTTGATCTCGAGCTCTAGGGGTACTAACACATTTTTTGGACTAATTTTAATTTTGAAATTTGACATGGATCTTTTTACTTGCACGTAAAAACCTTTGCAAAAGTTTTGGTGGTCCCAAAGTGGTGAGATACAAAGTCTAGAAGGGGGGGGTGAATAGACTTTGTTACAAATTTAAAAACTTTTTCGTTTCTTTTGAAAATGTAAAAAATGAGTGTTAATCTAGAGTTCTTGTGAACTTTAGATTGTGTGCGGAATTTGGTGGGTAGAGTGAGCGGTAATCAATATGGATGGGTTAGTTTTCACAGCTAATATAATTGCAAGTAAGAGTAAAGATAAAAGAGAGAGACACGCAAACTTTAACGAGGTTCGAAGGTGGGGTAATCCTTCTACGTCCAATAATGAATCAACAATTACATCAATATAGGGACCAGAAAGTAAAAGCAAAACCAGTTATCAGTTGTCACCTTAAAGTGTCCATCAATATATAGCTATTTCCGCTTAAGCCTTTAAAAAATACATGATAATATACTAAGATGACTTTCACAATCAAGTATAACCAAGCCTTGGACAGTTAGAGTTCAATCCTCGAGGGTGAGGAGAAGTTGAGTATGAAATGAATACAAATCTTTATAGAATAAAGTGGAGAGAATATTTAAAAGACTAAAAGTGATAATCTAACAATATTCAATATAACTTACTTGCAGAAAATTATTGGGATTTACTATCAATCGGCAAGACAATTGATCTATTGCTCAAAAAAGTATCCCTCGTCATATCAACACAAATGAGAGCACAAATGGCACCATCCGTGGAGAAGAGAACCTTAAAAATATATAGCTTGAAGCATGTAAGAAACATAACTCCAAATATGAACAATGAGATTCAAGAAATTAACTAGAGTGAAGAAAACTCACTTGTTTATTGACTTTTTGGTGAGATGGGAGAAAAAGCTTGGTATGATAGATACCAACAATGTCAGCACAATGAGGAAGTTGTTATTCTCAGACGATCCTGGATATTCCAAGATTTTTAAGCTTGGAAACCAAGTCTCCATTACAGTTTGGAATGCAGAAATTGAAAAAAAATCCCTTTGAGATCCATGCACGCCCGTTTATGCCCTAAGAATCACCAATGCTATTGTAGCTTTCTAGAAAAGGGGTCCCCTGGAACATTGCACACCCCATAGTTTGCCCTTTTTTCATTTGGAACTGATAACGATAGATCTTCAATCGGTTTTTGTAACTTCCCATGATTGATATGCATCTGATTATGTACAATATGTTGTTTTTTGGCTTAAGTTTTCCATCCCACATCAGTGGGTTTTGAGTAGCTGTTGGGATAAAGAGTTGGACTTTTCTTTACTTGCTTTTTCCCATCCTACACCGTATTCTTTATGTTAGGGGAGGGGATTTTGAGGTTATACATAAACCCCTCATTCCCTTAAGATGTTGTATCCTAACCATTTGTATCTTCTCCCACATCAATAAAATGGGCTCTTTGAGCGGTGCTCGGAGATTAGGCTAAATTGGCCGAACCCCGTTAACAAAGTTTCAGGTGTGCTCTCTTTATCTCTTTTATTATTCGGCTCTATTATTGTTGTTATGTTGTTTTTTTTCCGTTGTAGTATAATATTTAATATTATTTGTTGGGTATCTCTGTTAGTGTTCTGTCTAGTTCATTTGTTCTAAACTGGTTCATTTTACTATTTGTGTTGTTTTAGTGGGAAAATTACCCGATTTTCCCAACAAGTGGTATCGGAGCCAAAGGTTCGCCCTTGGGTTATCTGAAATTTGTTATAATATTGAATACTATATTTTGAGTCTGTAATGGCAAATAAAGATCAAGAAGCAAAGAGTGTCGTCTCAAATATTCCATCTGGGTGTCGGGCTCCTTGTCATCATGGTTGAGGTTCCCGGTGTCCAGTTTGAAATTGGCAGTGGAAGTATTTGATGGCACTGGCCATTTTGGCATGTGGAAGGGAGAGGTATTGGACTCTCATTTTCAGCAGGGTCTTGATATTGCTATTAAGGAAAAGAAACTAGAAGAGGTAGAAGATAAAGACTGGAGCATCATCAATCGGTTGGCATGCGAAACTATTCGATCTCACCTGTCCAAGGAACAGAAGTATGCTTTCAAAAATGAGACTTCAGCACACAAAGTGTGAAAGGCATTGGAGGACAAGTTTCTGAAAAAGAATGGTCAGAACAAGCTCCTGATGAAGAAAAGGTTGTTCCGATTCGACTACCAACCAGGTACTACTATAAATGAACACATCACTATGTTTAATCAATTAGTAGCAGACCTGTTGAATTTAGATGTGAAGTTTGAGGAAGAAGATCTGGATTTGATGTTGCTATCATCTTTTCCCGATGAATTTGAACATTTAGAAACTACCCTACTTCATGGGAAAGAGAATGTGTCGTTAGATGTTGTTTGTTCTGCTTTATATAGTCATGAATTGAGAAAGCACGATAAGATGAAAACCAAATCAACGACATCAAAAGAAGCATTGGTGGCAAGAGGTCGTAAGCAAAGCCAGACAAAGGGGAGAAGATGAAGGTCTAAGTCCAAAGGTCGATTCGTTGCCAAAGATGAGTGTGCTTTCTATCATGAGAAAGGACACTAGAAGAAAGTCTGTCCAAAATTGAAGAAGAAAGGAAAGACTCCACAAGATGCAAATGTTGCAGAATGTAAAAGTGATTCAGAATCAGATATTTCTTTGATTGTCTCGCCTTCAACGTCATCGCATCCAGATGAGTGGATATTGGATTCAGGTTATACCTATCATATGTGTCCCATTCGAGAATGGTTCTTTGACTTTCAGGAAGTCGATGGTGGTGCTGTTTACATGTTGATAAGCGTGTCGTAGCACCTACAAATTAATTTATTATTCTTCTTAACTTAAAATCCCACTTTATGAATTAATATTGATTAAAACATATAGATAGGGCAAGAAAGGGTCGATCCCACGAGGAAAGATACTTTTATAGCTATGAAAATCAATTCGCTTGTCACTTTTATTGAATAAAAACAACTAACTAAAACTAACAACTAAAACTAAGAGATATGGGTGGTTTGAATGATAAATCTAAAACAATAAAAACATGAAAATAAAATAAAGATAAAGATAACAGATGGAACCACAACAACAAGCTTAGACTTCAAAAGCACTCAGGGAGAAAACAAACATTCTAAACAACTGACCACTTAAACTCTATAAGACGTAGACAATAATAATTAACTTAAACAGTTTTAAAAATACTTATAGTTTTTAATAGAAAACAACTGACCAAATATGATCAACTAATTAACTATGTCTTCATTTTGAAATACTATTAATTAAACTTAGGGTTAGGCTGAAGAAGAGGTCCATCAACGGTTCTTCCCTATTTTCCCATTTATATTAGCTCATGTTAGGACCAATCTTAACTCTAAACCCTACTACCCTTAGCAACCCAAAGACCAACCCTCAAGTTACTACTAAGAATAGCACATTAAGATTTATGAAAAACATCACCATAACAACTTTGCAGTAACACTACGGTTATTTAACAAAACCAGTTCGAGAACCTTGATCAGCAAAAACCACTTAACGAGGCAGCCAAGTACTAATTAAGTGACACTTGGTTTCTAGAAAAGTTCGGCTATTTAAAGCACTTTGGACTTTAAAAGAAAGTCATTCTAAATTGGGTTAGGCTGCAGTCCTAATTTGGTCTAATTTAAGTAAAATCTAGTGAATAATAATTTTCAGAACACCTTTTCGAGTTTAGGTTTAACAGTAGCGTAGCGCTAAAATCTCTTCAAAGTCAAATTAATTCAACAAGAACAACCAAATATAAAATTCAATCATTTTTGTCAAACAATTCGGCCTAAGAAGGTTTTATAATTTCAGAGATAATAATCAATCAATAAATCATAATTTGAACAGATTCACATCAACACTCAAACAAATCAACACTACTAATATAACTTAAACATTCATCACAAAATTGGAATTGATAATAAACATATTTAGATATTGGACAATCAAATTCATAAATTGGGAAATTAATAAATTAGAAAGTCCTAATTAAAGAAAAAGTAAAATCAAATAAAAGAATGGTAACAAATGCTCCCCTGTATGTCTTCCTCGTTCATTCGCTGCCAGACCAAAGGTAGAAGCCGTCCCACCAGTGTTGCATCTGCCGTCTAGCCTTGCCTCGCCGGAACCGAACCACCATCGCCGAACCTAGGGTTGAACCCTAGGTCGGCCTCTGCTCTCGCTCCGATCTCCTCCGTATCCCCCTCTGTGTGTTTGTGTTAAAAAATATCCTCTCTTAATATAGAGCAAGAAGTGGTGTTGGATTGAAACTCTTTAATTGTTTTGGAAGAATCCGTTTCCTGCGCTACATTTCTCCTCGTTGCTATCCCTTTCTTTCTTCCTTTTTGTAACTTGAATTGGTCAAATGGATAGGGAGTATTAAATTGAAGTTGGGTCAAATCCAATTTGGGTTGGGTCCAATTCTCCTTTCTTCAATTAAAGCTTCAAAAGTCCCACTTGTTATCTTCCTCAACTTTTTGGATTCTAAAATATATATCTAAAAATATTTGTGCCAAGGAAAATAATGCTCTAAAATAATTGTGAAATAAAAATATGCTTAAAATCATGCATTTTATGTATAAAATATGAACACTAATCTAAAATGTCAAATATGTGAATATATGCTTATTTAGGCATAAAATGCATATAAAATATCCTAAAAGTGCTAAGAAATGAGGGAATAAAATATGATATTTTGTTACTCAACACATGTGTAATGATAATCCATGTAAGACAGCCGGGATAAGTTCAATCAAGTTGCGGAATCATGATGGATCCACCAGAATTTTGCGGGATGTGTGGTACGTGCCAAAGTTGAAGAAGAATCTCATCTCATTGGGGGCTGACTTTAGAATCTAAAGGCCAAGTTGTGACGATGCAAGATGGAGTTCTTAAAGCAACTTCGGGAGCACTAGTGATGTTGAAAGGCGTGAGGAAGAACAATCTGTATTACTACCAAGGTAGTACAGTGGTGCGGACAGTAGCGGCGGCAACTTCTAGCACCAAGAAGGATGCCGAGGCAACGAAACTGTGGCATATGTGATTGGGACATGCTGGAGAAAAATCCTTGCAGATACTTGCCAAGCAGGGATTGTTGAAAGGTACGAAAGCTTGCAAACTTGAATTTGGTGAGCATTGTGTTCTAGGAAAACAACGAAAAGTGAATTTTGGCACTGCAATTCATAATACCAAGGGTATTCTGGATTATGTACATTCAGATGTGTGGGGACCTACCAAGACTCCGTCCATCAGAGGTAGGAATTATTTTGTCACTTTTGTTGATGATTTTTCCAAGAGAGTTTGGGTGTTTACCATATCATGAAGAATAAAGATGATGTACTTGGAATTTTCCTTAAGTGGAAAGCTCAAAGTTGAAAATCAAACAGGAAGGAAGATCAAGGTTCTTCGAACAGACAATGGAGGAGAATACAAGAGTGATCCATTCCTAAAGGTATGTCAAGATTGTGGCATAATTCGGCATTTCACGGTTAGAAAAACACTGCAGTAGAATGGGGTGTCAGAGCATATGAACAAGACACTTGTGTAGAAAGTTCGTTGTATGTTGTCTAATGCTGGGTTAGGTAGGAAGTTTTGGGCTGAGGCTGTGACATACGCTCAACATCTCGTCAATCGTTTGCCATCATCTGCTATAGATGGAAAAACTCCATTAAAGGTATGGTCTAGAAAACCTGTAACTGATTATGATTCTTTGCATGTTTTTGGTTATATTGCATATTACCATGCGATTGAATCAAAGTTGGATCCATGGGCAAAGAAGGCTCTTTTCATGGGCTTTAGTGCTGGAGTGAAGGGATGCCATTTATGGTGTCTGGAGGCAAAGAAGACCATTATCAGTAGGGATGTTACCTTTGATGAATCTGCCATGTTGAAGAAGGTAAGTCCAGATAGAGCTGATAGTACTCCACAACAAGTGGAGTGTGCTCTGAAGTAGGTGGAGTTTGAGCAGACGATGGTGATTCCAGCATGAAGCACCACTAGTGACTCTCCTATTACAGAAGAAGAGTTAGATGAAGAGGGGGTTTCTACCTAAGAACCTCAACAGCAATCTACACCAATTGTAGTTAGGAGACAGAGATGAGAAACTCAGAAGCCTGTTCGTTTCTGTAACGACCCAAAAACCGGCTTAGTAGTTAGCCGCGATTTTAATAAAAATAAGTATAATATTTATCTACTCTAAAATATGAATTATTTGTAAAGTTATCCATTTTAAATGAAAATTGGGTTTTCGAATAGATCTCGTAAAATGGTGACCAACGGTATATAATTTGTTAAATTTGGACATACGTGTAAAGCGTGGTGAGTTAAATAGATGTTACAGTTCAATAAATAAATATAAGGATTTTATAATAAAATAATAATAAATCAATATAATACTCCTAATTCTACCCGTAGAATAGGATTCCCAAACCCTCCCCACCATTATTATACATATACATATATATACCCAACACAAACGCACGCAAAAGGAAAAAAAAAGAGGAAGAACAAAGGATTACGGAGTGCGTCAGTACCGGCGGAAGGGAACAAAACAGAGCCGCACGAATTGGTCTTCTAATCGCCGCCGCCGTTCGCTGGAGGAGCTGTCTGCCGCCACGAGTCGGAGGCCATTGGGTAGCCGCTGCTCTGCTGCCGAGTTGGCCGATAATTTGAGAATTTGATTTGTTTAATTCGTCAATTAATCGAGGTCAGAACTTGCACATCTAACGCTAAATTATGTATATAGATTTGAAATTCACGTTCGTAGTTTCGTATGATTGATTACGTGGTTTATTTGTTTATAATTGAATTGTGATTTATTTATATCTTATGATAATATTGGAATTGATTGAACGAGGATGACCAGGTATATATTCTTACTCTAAATTGTGTGATTTGCATGACGGTAAGTGGAAGGTGGTTACACCCGCCACTAGGCCGCTAGTTGAGTTATATGATTGGTTATCTGATCATTGTTACCCCTCTTGTGTTAATTAAATGTAATCATGTTGTAATTTGGAAGTAAATAAGAAATAGAGATTTATGTTGGAATATGTCTGAATGGTAGAGATGTTGTAAGTAAATGGCTAAGTTACCTAGAGGAACTCTAGGGCTGCTTTAGTACAATTGTAAGTATAAATGTCAATAGATAGGATCAGTCCTGCGGATCTGATATCCGACGGCTGCGGGTTAAAACGTACGTACGGGATCCAAGAACTGTCGTTCCGAAGGGGACAGGGGTACCACCCACCCAGCGGAGAACTCCTTCGTTGGTCATCAAGTTGTGTTGTGTCATAAGGTATTAAATAAAGTAGACTTGAGTCATGGCCGTAGGTAGTGACTCTAAGTCCGAACATCAGGTTGTAAATATAGAAGTATGGACTTAGTCTGGTAATTGTGTTATGAGCTATGAATACAGAAGAAATAAGGTAATGATTTGTGACTTGTGAATTTATTTGGTGACTGTTATGTTCTATTATATTGTATACTTGTGTCCATGATATTGTATGGAGTTATGAGCTAGTGGGTTCGTCTATGTGCGTAGTCGAACGTTAGATAGATTCCACTCAGCTTCAATGCTGAGCGTGTAGCCTTTTTCCTATTTGCTACACGTAGGTAACATGAATGATGAATAAGGAACTATCCTGGAGGGCAGCGAGGGCAGAGAGATGGATGGATGCTGGCTGGAGGAGTTATCTGCTTAATATTTAAGTTTGAATTATTTATGTTTTTAAGGGCAAGAACCCAAAGTTGTATTTTGATTAAATACTTAAAGGCTTCCGCACCGTTTTGTGAACTCTGATGGATATTTAAATATCGTTTTGAATTAAATGTTTTTAAATTGTTTTGAAAATTATTGTGTCTGAATGCCAATCTAGTAGCAACCCGATCCGCTGGTCATTGTATTCGGGTCTAGTATCCAGTTGTTGATGACATTCCATCTACCTACCCAGAAGCCATTCTAAGTTCAGAGAGTGGGGATTGGGCAGATGCAATGGAAGAAGAGATGCAGTCTTTGAAGAAAAACAATACGTGGAAGCTGTCAAAATTACCAAAAGGTAAGAAGGCAATAGGGTGTAAATGGGTATTCGCAAAGAAAGAAGCTAAGGATTTCCTAATAAAGAAGATGTTTTCTACAAGGCAAGGTTGGTTGCTAAAGGCTTTGCTCAGAGGGAGGGAATCGATTATAATGAGGTATTTTCTCTAGTTGTTAAACATTCATCCATTAGAATTTTCTCAACTCGATGTGAAGACCGCGTTCCTACACAGTGATTTGAAGGAGGAAATCTATATGACTCAGCCAGAAGGATACAAGGTTGCTGATAAAAAAGATTGGGTTTGTAAACTTAGCAAATCGTTGTATAGACTGAAACAATCTCCAAGACAATGGTACAAACGATTTGATAAGTTCATGAAGGGTCAGAAGTAAAAGAGAAGCAAATACGATCATTGTGTGTATTTGCGCAGACTTTAAGATGGTTCTTACATCTACTTACTCTTATATGTTGATGATATGCTGATTGTAGCAAAGAGCCAAGTTGAGATTGACAGGTTGAAGGCTCAGTTGAGTAAAGAGTTCGAGATGAAGGATTAGGGGAAAGCCAAGAAGATTCTCGGCATGGAGATCAGCATGGACAGAGAGGGGAAAACTTTGGCTATCATAGAAGTAGTATTTGCAGAAAGTACTACAACGTTTTGGAATTGAGTAGCTGTTTATCTCCGACGACTGATAAAGAACGAGAATACGTGGCGAAAGTCCCATATGCAAATGCAGTTGGAAGCTTGATGTATGCAATGGTGTGTACGAGACCCGATATTTCACAAGCTATTAGTGTTGTTAGCAGGTACATGCATGATCCAGGCAAGGGCCATTGACAAGCGGTGAAATGGATTCTACGGTACCTCTAAAATACCGTAGATGTTGGATTGGCATTCGAGCGAGATGAATCACTTAGTCAATGCATAGTTGGATATTGTGATTCTAGTTCTGCAGGTGATTTGGATAAGCGACGTTCTACAACTGGTTATTTGTTCACCTTAGCAAAAGCGCCAGTTAGTTGGAAGTATACCTTGTAGTCAACGGTGGCTTTGTCTACAACAGAGGCAGAGTATATGGCGATTACAGAGGCTCTGAAGGAAGCAATTTGGCTTTATGGGTTGCTTAAAGACTTGCGAGTTGGTTAGAAACCACTTGAGGTATATTCTGACAGTTAGAGTGCTATTCATTTAGCAAAGAATCAAGTCTTTCATGCACGGACAATGCACGTTGATGTTTGCTATCATTTTGTGCAGGAGATTCTCGAAGAAGAGGAGATACTTCTCCAGAAGATTCACACTACGGAGAATCCTGCAAATATGCTGACCAAGGTGGTTACAAGGGCCAAGTTTGAACATTGTTAAGACTTGGTTAATGTCTTGCACATTTGAAGTTTGGCGTCGAGAGGCGCAAATTTGAAGCACCGCGAAGATTGATTTTGTTATGTTTATTTGAGAAGATTTGTATTTGGTGGGACGTGAAATTAAGTCAAGGTGAAGATTTGTTGTTTTTTGGCTTAAATTTTCCATCCCACATCGGTGGGTTTTGAGTAGCTTTTGGGATAAAGAGTTTGATTTTTCTTTACTTTCTTTTTCCCATCCCACACCGTATTCTTTATGTTATGGGAGGGGATTTTGAGGTTATAAATAAACCCCTCATCCCCTTAAGATGTTGTATCCTCACCATTTGTATCTTCTCCCACATCAATAAAATGAGTTTTTTGAGCGGTGCTCGGAGATTAGGCTAAATTAGCCGAACTCCGTTAACAAAGTTTCGGGTGTGCTCTCTGTATCTCTTTTATTATTCCGCTCTATTGTTGTTGTTACACTGTTTTCTTTTTCGTTGTAGTATAGTATTTAATATTATTTGTTCGGTATCTTTTTTAGTGTTCTGTCCAGTTGATTTGTTTTAAATTGGTTCATTTCACTATTTGTGTTGTCTTAGTTGGAAAATTACCCAACACAATACATAACAGAAAAGTAAAGATTATTGCCAAGATAGAAAATCAGAGAAGGAAATAAAAATTAGATTCAACATCGAAGAGTTGACCCACAAACTATCCATCTACCAAAACTTCAAAACCATTTCTAAATCCACAAAACCCAAAAGCACTTGCATTGATGAACATAGAGTGTGTTTGGTTGGAAGGAAAATATTCTCCAAGAAAATTTTGATTTTATTTTCTGGTGGAAGGAAAATATTTTTCAGGAATGAAAATTTTGATTTTAATTTACCTTTGATTTTCAAAGGAGAATTTTCATTCTCTCTCCGTTCCGTCCACCACGCCCCCCTCCAATCCCTCACCCATGTCCACCCCATACCCCGTTCATAATAAATCTTGGAATGTTAGTCTAATAACTCAAATATGGATATTCATAACAAATACGGAATATAAATCTCAAATATGAAGTATTGTAAATTAGTAGGAACTAAAAACTTACTCAAATAATATTTAAATACTAAAACAATTTATAATTAAAAAAATCTTAAATTAATTATAAAATAATCTTAAAATAAAGTGCTACTCAAATAAATCTAGCAAAAAGCCACTCAAAAAATCTATCCACATCCAGTGTTCGAGCCTCAAGCCTCACCCCTGCGCTAAAAAGGTTGAGATTTAAAAAAATGAACAGATACTATACTGATGGGTTTGGGAGCTACTCAAAAAAAATCTAGCAAATTAAATTATACTCCCTCCGTCCAACATTTATCTTCCCGTTGCGCGTTACGATATTTGATTGAAGTTATTTTCTAATCATTTTATATAAAAAATGGTGTGTAAATAAAAAATAAAAATTACATATTTAAAAACTACATTAAAAGATCTACAAAACTAAAAGTGACATGACTATATTATTTTATAAAATGAACAACAAAAATATGCCAACAAAGTGAATAAAGTTTGACCTTGTAAATAGTGAACGAGAAGATAAAAGTTGGACGGAGTCACTAGATTTACTAACCTTAACCAACGATTAATGAATATGGAAAATGACAATTTATTAGAGATGTTTTTGTGTGGTCTGTGTTGGGGAAAGAAGAATGAATGCGCGAATAAATGCTTCTTATTTTGTTACTTTTTCCATTCCTAAATATTTGTTCATTTTATTTTGTGTGTCAAACGTTTGACTAACTATATATATAAATATTTAATGAATTCAAATATAAAAATTATACCAAATTATTGGTATCGAAAAATACTTTAAATGTGTTATTTTTAAATTTTTTTCCCATAATGTATTTTAAAAGATAATGTTAGTCAAACTTTAAATTCGAATAGCGAATCAAACAGTTAAAAAGGAATGGAGAGAGTAATTATTAGAGCATCACTACTCATCCCCTTATATTCTCTTCCATATCATCAATTTTTAAGCCACGTGATTTTCTCTTCTTATTTTCTTCACCTCACTCTAAATATCCCTCTCCTTTTTATCTTTATTTCAAATACTTACAGAGTAATTTATTTTCAACCAATCAAATTTAATATTTAATTTTACACCAATCAAAATTTCTCTTTCTTTAGGAGCATTTAATTCTCCTCCCAACCATACTCCCTTTATTCCTCCATACCCTCTCTAATCATGCTCATTTGCCGCTATTCCCCTCACTATTCTCCTCCATCATTAGTGTTGCTCTTACAATGAATAAGCCATGGAGCCAAATAGTTATTGTTACTACCTGGAACAATGAACAGTTCATAGAGAAGCTCATCAAAGGGTAGGATTGGTAGGAAGAAAAAAAAAAAATTAAAACTATAATATAGCTCAGTTGCTTAAATACATCTTCAATATTGTGAAGGAAAGATGTTCATCATCGTTATTTATGACATATAGCACCACAATATAACAATGAATAAATGCGGAGTACGTATATACACCTTTTGAGTACGGGCATTCTTGAAGCAGAGCATATAAATTCAGTAATTTTTGACTAACCGTGGGACTCTTAAATAAGCAACAATCATATCACAACACCAAATTATATTTACACGGATTTACCATTGAGACAAATTGTTGAAGACTTCCAGAGATTTATTATTGAGACAAATTGTCGAACATTTGAAATCAAAGCAAAAAAAAAGCACCTCCTTGCCTCCCGCGCCTCGGTTAGAGCAGCCACTAGCGTTCCTCGCAAGCTTCCCTTTAGGTCGGTTATAGGTCGCAAAAGAGTTACCTGATACAGTTGGCTCCGATTCAAAAGGGGTGAGGCTGAAGATCGGGATTGAAACTGTTCCCGGCTAAAATATTGAGTTTTGAAGGGAGGTTTTGATTAGTGAACTTTGGCCCGAGGGTCAAACTCGACCAAACTCGAACTTGATCGGATCAACTCGCTAATGTAAGAGATCATCAAAATCATATATACTTTAAAGTAATTCTCTAAATGGTTCTCTATAATAAAACATTTTTCCAAATTAGTGCTCAATAAGTTTTAATTACCTACGTGGTCCTTTATAATTGAGATGTGATTCCTAAGTAGTCCTTCGTGAATAATATTATTTAAATGTTAAATGATGATTAATTAGATATATTTTACAATTTTTTATCAGCTAAATATAGAATAAGTTCTTAAAATTATCATTTCTAATAAAGTGTTTTCCCAAAATTATTTTTTCTAATTAAAGACATGTATTTAATTCAAATTTTAAATTTTGTTTTACAGTTTTTTAATAATTCATGGATTATGTATAATCAATGTATTGTTTTAATTTTACATTGAATTGTATTGAAATGACCACTCTAAGTATATACTTTAAATTTAGAAGATAAAAAAACTAAAATAATTTTTAATTAATAATTATTTGAGTAACATTATTTACGAAAAACTATTTAGGAAATAAATCTTAATTATAAAGGACCACGTAGATAATTAGTAGTTATTGAGTACTGAATTGGGAAAATACCTTATTACAGAGGACTATTTTGGGAATTTAATCTATACTTTATATTAATTAATATAAATATAATATTATAAAAGTAAGATTATAATTATATTTCTTTTAACACTACTCATTTTAATGCATTAATTCATATTTCCTGACAAAATTTTAATGATATCGCATAATTATTTTTTTTAAAAATAGTTTTTTTTATTCGTAAAGAATTACTTAAAATTTTTTAAAAAATACTCCCTCCGTCCCAAAGAAGACTCCTTATTTTCTTTTTGGGACGTCCCAAAAAAAGCTTCCTCTTTTCTTTTTTAGAAAAGTTTGAGTGGCTCACAATTTTTCTCTCTCTTTTATATCACTTTCAACACACATTTTTACTTTCTTTAAACTTTGTGTCAAGTCAAACTAATAATCTTATTTTGAGACGGAGAGTAGTTAAAAGCATAATTTATTGGGGCGTCCCAAAGTATTGGATCATACTTACTCGAACCCGAATAACCTAAAGTCGAACCCATAGTTACAGAATTCGCTTACCTAGCCGCGATTTCCGAATTGGTACGAATGGTACCGGATCGCAAGTCGCCGGCAAACCGATCGCCACCGGTACGGCGATCCAAATCGGTCTGGTACGGCGCTCCAATTCGCAATTCGCTGGCGATCCAGATGCCCTAGAACGTCGCACCAAGTCCGAGAATACAGAGTACCAATCGCCGGCGATCTAGCGATCCAAATCGCAATTTCGTCTCTTCCGCGACCTTCCCTGCGATTGTTCTCTCCGTAAATTGAATAGGTCAATTTGCGATTGCACTTCCCCAAGTTCTGTGCGAGTCGTTCATAGTCTTCGTGTCTTTCTCTATTGTTCTCTGACTTCTCCCTTTAATGTCTCTCAAGTCTAACCAGTAACCACAACCCAATCTAAAGTCCTCAATATCCAGTATTTTTGTTTACTTATGTTTTGACTTTTGGTACACCGAACCGAATACATGGTACATCGTACCGCTTCGTACCACTTCGTACCGAAATGAACCTACCCCCCTTCGTACCGAATTCGTTACATCTAGCGAATTTCGTACCCGTACCGCGTACCCGTACCGAAGCGTACCGCGATTTATGTAACTATGGTCGAACCTAACCAGACCATATCTGATTTGCTCTAGTATCTTCTCTTATAGTCGTCTAGCCCTAATTTCCGCCATCAAAGGTCGTTCTCCACCTCCTGACGACGATCCGTCCATATCTGATCTAGTACGAATTGCTGTTCTCTGTTTATTTTTCTGAACTCTCTATTATTTTTTTGAGCATTTTTCTGCCTCAAATTTGATTTCGCATAGTTTTTGATTTATAATATTGATAGTTTTTTGTGCGAGATTCATACATTAGATTAGATTCTTGGACCTCGGATTTAGCAACATACTATAAACACATTTGTTTACAGAACAAAAGAAATTACACCTCAAACCTATTCAACACCAGATTGACCTTTGAAAAACTTGTTTTTCAAAATAAATAATTTCCCAAGTACTTAGAAGCCTCTCCCGGTGGTTGTTGTTGTTGTTGTTGAATATCTATTATTAAGAAAATATTTTATTCGAAAATAATACTCTTTTATGTTTCAATATGTACATCACCCTCCAATTTTTCATTAGTCTATTTCCCTGTTATTGCGCCTCTAAAATTTTGAGGATTGTTTGCCAACAAAGGATTCAATTTTTAAGGCCATCGTTCTATTTGAATTGATGAATATATCACACCCTTGCGTTACATGGCTTGTATTAATGTTATGAAAATATATTGATGTCGTTATTGAAGAATATAAATAGATCATATAAAATAATATAAAATTTTTCATTATTTTAAAGCATGAATATCAAATGAATTACAAATTTTGAAAATCTTATTTATAAACTGCATTATTGGTTCAATTTGTGAGAATATTCTCTACGTTGTATATCAGAATTTCAAGTTATTACGATTTGTTACTCTTAAAAGCGCAACATATAGTTGTATATGACAGACATTCATATATGTTAGTTTTAGTCTGAATATATTTCAAGTCTAAGGTATGTATATACTTAATTTAATTTTTTATATTTTGCACATGATTAAAACAAACACTAATTTTGATAGTACGTGAACGAGAATATCTCACACTCTCAAATTTTATGTATGGTTCATTTTTCATATAGTATAAAAATACTACTCATTTTTTATATCAAGAAAGTGATATTCATATTCTATATATAATAATAATAATAATAATAATAATAATATTTTTATTATTTTTATTAATACCTCACCTTACAGTTTCGTTAATAATATTATTTTTATTTTTACTAATACCCCATATTAAAATAATAGTGCTGGTTTTTTATATCAAGAAAGTGCATTCATATTTCCATATATAACAATGCTAATAATATTAATAATATTTATTAATATCTCACCTTATATTTTTGTCAATAATATTTTCTTATTAATGCTCAACCTTATATTTTTCGTCCCATGAATTATTTTTTTAAATATTTATATAAATTCTAAATTGAAATTTATATTTATTTTAAACTCTTATGATTAATATTAATTGTGTTTCCATATATTATACGCACATAAAATTTCTACATGTTATATACATCATATATAATGAACACTAATTTTGGAAAGTTTAACAATACCATTAGGTAGATGAAGTAGAATCCTTTAATATAATATTTCAGACTCAGATCAGCAGAGCTTGACATAAAAGAAATATAATTTTTAATAAGAAATATTTTCACCATCTTTTGATATTAAGATATTTATATTTTAAAATGTTGAATGACAAAACAAAATTTTGAATATATTATTTTAAAATAGAATAAAATTTTTTAAAATATTGTAAAATAGAATAAAATATATTATATTTTAATTAATACAAGGAGTTTTTTATTCTTGACATTTTTTTTAAATAAAAAATTTATCAATCTTTTACATGATTAACTAGATTAATGTTTATAAATATATTTTAATAATATTTTTTATATAAGATAGAGAAGTAAAGATAAATAATATACTAGAATATAAAGTTTAGGGTCATTTAACATAGATTATAATGAATAATATTTATTTAACAATTTTCATAGAATTTCATTCTTTATATATATATATATATATATATATATATATATATATATATATATATATATATATATATATATATATATATATATATATATCTCTGTGTGTGTGTGTGTGTGTATATATATATTTTGAATACTATTGACTCTATTACAAGGTAGTATCTGTTCATACTATTCTCAACCTAATGATGCATAAAGAGCCAACACCTTAACTCCGCTGGGGCTTGAACTCAGGTGAACTATTATATATAAGTAAAGATAAATATTATATTAAAATAGATATTGCAAAATATTTTTCAAGATATTTTTCCAAGATATTTTTTTTATATGTTTCATCTTTGTGTGTATTTGAGAGGTCTTATATTATGAATTTAGATAAAAAATGTTACAGGAATTGTATATTCATTTTTTAGTGGACTCGATTAGAATGTGGTATCTGTTCTTACTTTTCTCAGATCAATCTACTTTTGTCAATCTAATGACGGAAAAAAAGACAATGTCTCCATCTCCGCTAGGACGTGTGGGTGAGTGTACCCATAAATTTTGGATAGTGAGTTTCCTACCACTCAATCTTAAGTGCTATTCTTTATTCGTTATATATGCATTTTCAAGTTAAATGATGTTCATATTGGACATTTATAATAATAATAATAATAATAATAATAAATAGCGATTATGATTGACAAAATTGTAACTGCTGTTTAGATTATTATTGATTGATTAGGAGTATTTCCAGGAATTTACAACCCTGTAAACAACCAAACGGCCAAATATGTTTTAATTTCATAAAAATTGATTACCTGATTTTTATTGGGGATTGCGGAAATCAAACAATCTCCAACTCAGCGTGAATCTCACAAATTCCACAATGAATTTGCAATGCCATTTCAGTCATTTACTCCTGCGCGGTGATTTCGCTAGCATTTAATCGGATAACACGGAAGAATGAAATGGCATCGACCCAGTAATTGTATTCCTCTGATATTAAGCGCATTTACACCAGTGGGTTGCGTTTGGATGGATATGCAAAAGCCATTTTGAATTATTATTAACGGAGTTTCTAACGGTGGGGGGCATAATGGGGAGCAAATGGTATTGGTACAACTCTAAAGGCTAAGAGTACAAATATTTTGGATGGAAAAAAGCCACAAATTTAAAGGGTACCTAACTCTATCTTATGTTTATATGATAAGGAGAGATGATAAGGAGAGATACCTAACTCTATCTTATGTTTATATGATAAGGAGATATATATATATATATATATATATATATATATATATATATATATATATTACTAAAAATATTATTGATAGAGAGAATTAGCATTCAAATGACATAGGCCCAAAGCCATAGAACTACACTCCGTATAAACCCACATACTCCATAAAAAATACGTAGTAAGAGAAACCCAATTCAAAAATATAAAAAACCCTAATGCTCCGTGGCTTTTCTCGAAAGGCAAAGGGTCAAAGTATAAAGCATCGGGAAACTTCAAAAGTTGAAGACCCGGCCACCATCGTCGTTGCTAAACAAACATTGTAATGTATATTAGTATAAAGTGATTTCACTAGATTCATCTTGTTGAGAATATCAAAAATTAAATTTTATTGTACTAATATGCAATACATATTAAGAGTAATTAAAGTTTAATGTTCGTTGTGTTTGACAAAAAAAATCAAACTACACACACGGTTTTTTGGAGGGAGTTGGTGCATATAATGAAATCCAGTCATGTGAATATATTCGGTAATGTAGATTTAAGATTATTTGTATTAACTGATTTCAAATTGTGGCATAAATTAAAAATGTTTGCATATTAATTTTTTCAGATTATTACTTCCTACGGAGACATCAAAGGTAAATGATGCACTTCAGAGTCTTGTCTAATTGATAATCTGTATAAAATTGTTCATGTATGGTATTCGAATTGTTCAAGTTTTAAATATATAGCACCTTTTTCTTTGTTATAACACATAGAGAATTTGCGTGATTTGAGTTTGATCCGTAGAATTCAAATTGCGGATTTGTAAATCTTTTGTTGTGATATAGAATTTAAAATGTGGAATTAAAAAATTTGGAATTAGAATTCAATTCCAATTCCACATACATTTGTGCTAATTGGAATAGAAGTTTACAATTCCAATTTCATGGTCTGAATTTTGTGTACCAAACAAAGCATTACACTATTTCTCTTACGGTTTCAATCACTTTATACTCTCTCCATATCTTGCCAATCACTACTAAAATACTCCCTCCGTCCCAAAGTATTCGTCCAGTTTGACTTTTTCGAGTCAAACTGGATAAACTTTAATCATCAATTACTCTCAATTTGTATTGCATATTAAATTAATGAAATAAAATTTTGAAAGTTCTAAACAAGTTAAATTTAGCAAAATCATTTTTATATTCATATACATTATAGTTATTACATAATTGAGGCTCAAAGTTTGTCTAGCTTGACTCGAAAAAGTCAAACTGGACAAATACTCTGGGATGGAGGTAATACTTTGTAATCTTTGTTCATCAACAAATTGTTTTATATCCTATGTTTAAATTTCAGATAAAGTTGAATTACGCCGACATTGCGAATGGGAAATGTTGATGACATCATTAGGGTGTTGAAATGGTTCGAGAAGGAGAAGAATGAGAAGAAGAAGAAGAAAATTTTGACATCTGATAATAAGAAGAACAAGTTGAAGAAGAAGAAGTCCATTGAAATTAATGATGAGAAGAGGAAGAACATGAAGAAAAGAAAGCAATGTTGGGATCTAAGACACTATAGATGGTTGGCAGTATCAAATGGAAAAGAGAATGATTGGTGGAGCGATATTTGTCGTGCTGCTAGTGGTGGTGATGGTGATGGTGGTTACGAATTGGATCCTGACCGCCTTGAACAATTTAAACGAGTTAATAACAAAGTTGGTTTGTGCTACTTCCCGGTGTTGGACGATGAATACCATAAGTACATTGTTGAAAGCACTAACTTCAAGCGATATGCAAGATCATGGGTCGAAAGTGATGGGTTTGACATTGAGTGGGCGGTTGGAGTTGCACCTTGTTTGTCCATCACGCACGAACCCCTTTGCATCCACGACAAGGGCCAACCTCAACTCAATCCACACCTTTCCAAACTCGCTGAACGCGTGCTTCAAAAATATAATTCCGCCCATGAAACGGCTAATTATGAGTTGGTGCGTCTTGTCAAAGCCAATCGCCGTTTAGGTTTGGCTGCCTATGCATATTACATTACTTTCCTTGCCATTAAGAAGACTACGGTGGAAGAGGAGGAAGATGAGAAGAACGAAGCAGCAGCCGACACCTTTCGAGCTAGAGTTTACGATTTTTCTATCGGTGATCGCTTTTTTAGAGCTTCTGTCTATTCTGTTTATATATCACCACCACCTCCACCACCATCGTCATCATTTAGGCGATCAAGCTTAGATTGAATCCTTTTCACGCCATATAATTAGTTTTCTTGTGAGGATGTAATGAAACATGTTACATTACAGTGTCTCCTTCAGTGCTTATCATCATCAAGTCTTTCTCTGTTTTAATTTTAGTGGTTTGTTCAGTATTTATCACCTTTTTTAAATCCATTTTTGTTAAAGTAATGCATTCACAACCCTTATTTTTTGTTTCTACGAAATTTGATCATAATTTCTTCGGTATACGAACTTTAAATTCTATCAAAAAAAAGTACACGAATTTGCAACTTTCTCTTACCAAAAGAATAATAGGAACTTTTTAGGTGACCAAATAAAATCATGATCATTCCACAACAGTACCAAAACTTTCACTAATCACCAAGAATCAAGCGAGTACAACAAGTTTTCCTTTAATACAATCAAGGAACATCCTTGGTACAACAACAATCTCAACGAAAATAGAGTAAGAACCTCAAAAAAAAATAGGTACAATAGCTGCCAGAAAACTACCTTCCGAGCATCAAAACAGAAATTTGACCGTTGGATATGGAAAAGAGTATGTGAGAAAAAACATACTAAAATTTGAGCACAATAGGGTTTCGTTTGGTCTTCGATCCGAATGGGAAAATGTGCTGCTGAACACAGTGGAGAAAAACTCTTTCTTCTTCTCTGTGTCGTAGCTACTGCCCTTTTCTCAAAATTGATATACTTTTTTTTTATAGTGTCGTAGCCACACAAAAAGGACTCAAATGGGCCAACTCCAAAACAAAATATTTCAATTAAAAGTATGAATATAAACAATACAATTAAAATGGGAGATAATAAAATATTATCCAATTAAATTGACACTTCTTCAATGTAGGAGGGATATTTTCAAACAGGAGTACCCCTCCTCTCTCCCCGCCACCACCCGTCTTCGTCTCTTCTTATTCGGCAAACTATCTCCAACCAGTTTTATCATTTCTTCTCTTATGGTTTGTGAGATATTTGGTGTGTTGTGAGCATACCTAGATAAAATAATAAAAGCACACAGATTGAATCAAGCAAACACAAATATATGATGTTGTAGAACAAAAGAGGATGATACACAGAGTGCTACAGCATTCTCGCAATCCTGCACAATCACGCGGTTAAGTAAATTAAAGCAATAAACTAAGTGCACGGTACATGTTTATGCATTTCGGAGAAATCCTTCTAATCCGTTGGGCATTCGTTCGTGTAATAGCTTCCCACTAAATCCGCATAATAGATTACATTGATTACAAATAATAGAACTCGTTTCGCAAGAAGATCAATAACCTCGTCTGGGGAGAGACAAGAATTGTCAGTATATTCTAACCAAGGGCTATACTATCAAAGATATCAACTCCTCTTTGGCTTAGTTGGTTTGACAGATAATTCTGAAACCACTATGTCAAGAGTTCAAAGCTTGGTATGGAAGGAGGTGAAGAGACTATCAAAGATAGATTGTACACGAAGATATATCATGACTTGAAGAAATAAAGTGCAGCTCGGGCAGTCTGAGATACGATGTGACAGATTCACCGCCAAGTGTATGACGTGTTAAAAAGTTATGACTGAACACCAAGATAACAGTGTAATTTGAACAATCTTGTTGACCAAGTCAAACAAGAGTATTTTTGAAGGGTAAAAAAGTACTCTCTACGTCCCAAATTGTTTGTCACATTGCACACAAAACGAAGCAAAAAGTCAAGCTTTTTCAATTCATTTTATTTAAATATTGGTTAAGATATAAAAATTAAAATTTAAATATTTAAAAATTTAATATAAAATTCTTCAAAATAAGAAGTGACAAGAATAATTTATTTTACGGAGTAACGAATAATCAATGAAAACAAACAAATAAACAAAAATCTCCGTGATTTTTGAAAAAAAAGTGACATTTTTTTGGGACGGAGAGAGTAATATGTATTAAAACAGCAAAATTCAATCTTTATCTATAAGTAGCAGAAACGATTTAGAGCACATTGTTGAAATAAGATGACATAAAACAATAATCACACTTAAAACGTAAAACGCATAACACGAGTAAAATACAACTTTATTAGCACCTGTCTCGCACCTCCACTCGATCCAACTTCCTGGTAAAATCAATAATATTGTACACTCAGCAAATTTGTTGCCGAGGGATAAAAAACAATATAACACGAAGTTCTTGTAAGAATACATACTAATCAATTTACCAAATATGTATAGATGTAGATGTCATTAACATATCCTTCAGAGTATTATTTCAAATTCAAGATAGTTTTTTCACATACGAGTATAAGGTTTTAGTAAACACTCAAATAAAAGAAATCTGTCAAGTTTCTACTTTATACTCCTGCGACCCGACCCGATGAAGTTCTCCATTTACAAATCAATCGATCAGTGAGGAAGACACGCACGAAGCAGCCCCGTCGGATATAGTATCATCGTCTGCTGAACTTTCCTCATCAGCAGCGCTATTTGGGACAACCACTTTCTCATCATCAATCTGCCCACAGAGTAGGACATATTTTTCTCTGAGGGGTGTTAAATAAACATGGTTAGTTATCCCAAAGAAACAACAGGGGAAATGGAAGAAAAAATTACAAGATGAAATGAACTCACTGCAATAGTTTTTCTATACCACTACAAAAAACTGTTGAAATCGCGATGGAATTATTCCGTCGCTAAAGCTTGATTTCCGTAGGGAATCGGCCTAGCATCGGAAAAATGACGGTTTGTATTCCGTCGTTATTTTTTCGTTAGTAATAAGTTTAACGACGGATTATTTAATCCGTCGCTAGGCTACGACGGAATTAGCGACGGAATGAGGCGTCGGAATTAACGACGGAAAATTTCCGTCGCTAAGATTAACGACGGTTTTAGCTACCGTTTCTGCATTTTGACCATACAGCGACGGAAATGATATTCCATTGCCAAATCCGTCGCCAATTTTACAGCACGAATACAGAAAGCTGCCATTTTTTCAATTTCACAGAACATCCATAGCAACCTACTCTAGCCCAGGAATCCACAGCATCAAACAACAACAAATACTAGAAATGAAGAATACCAAATAACCAAGAATATTCAAATCACCAAACTACAATTAAAATTCAAATAATATTTATAAAAATTCAACTTAACAATCAAATCTAACTCCACTTACATAACCATCAAACTTAAGTTTAATATAATGTTCTTCAATTCTAATAAAATATTCAACAAGCGCGTGCAAACCCCGTATCTCATCAGGTCATCTCTTCTATAATCGACAATAGTTCACGCACTTGGGAAGCTCTAATGTCGTCTAGCTCTTCTCTCAACCTC